CCCGGTGGATCCCCCTGCCACCTGGTGTGAGGATTTCCGTCTTGTGTGGGCTGCTTTCTGGATGCACAAGGCCCAGCGGGTGTGCCGTTTGCGAGGGGCAGAAAGTGACATTTCCAAATGTTCAACTTTGCCGCCTCACAAGGTGATTCCGGGAATTCTTGAGGAATAAACAGCTTTAGAAAATTTACGAGCTTCGCCCGAGAATCCCGACACGTAAAAAGTCCGGAAAGGGGCAAAATTGAAGGCAAACAAAAACAAATTGTCTCAAATAAGACTTGGATCCCACTGTGAGGCTTCCAGTCCGTTCATGCGCAACCCACTGTGGGGATTTCCCATTCATCTAGTTGCCCTATACACAAACACATTCCTACCGCCTGCTCTTCTTTCTGCTCATACAATGGACATGGCTTTCCTTGCAATGACTTGCTGGGTTTTGGTCGCCTGTAGCCTCTCTTGTCGAGGCTGTACACTAGGTAGGGTAGATTTGTAATTTTGTTTGGCTGAGGGCTAACCGAGAGACTTACCTGTAGGTAAAATTCGTGAGGGACATATCTTCAAATTCAGGAAAATACAGGCCCGAACTAACAGACCGTACCTACAGTGACCCTAACTGCGGATAGCAGACCCGGGCTACCCCTAGGACAGACAGGCCCTATGGGCCTAAGCTGATAGACAGTCCTATAGCCTATAGCCGGGTAGGGAGAGGCCAGAGAGGCCGAAACAGCAACTGTACCGGTGAGTCCTACCAGTCCGGTCTAGGTTGAGTCTAGGCTAGTGTAGGTTATTAATAGATTGTAGACATTGGTTCAGGGCTTTTGGCAGTTGGTACCGAGTACATCGCGGCAGTGCAACGCGTGAACTGGAAGTGGTGACGGCTCAGCGTTGAGGGAGACAGACATAGCCAGACCTACGGAGCGCCGGCCATAGCTGGGACCTGCGCTGTACTCTGTCAGCACACGGGGCTGTACAGAGGTCTGGGTTATTGAGGTCTGCTGGAGGCGAGTGAAGTTGGTGCCCTGCTGGACCCTCCTCCGGAGTGGGGTTCCAGGGTTGTGGCGCTGCAGCCATAGCTGCAGCATCTTTCTCAGAGATCATCTTGTCAGGAGTGGTGGCGCTGCTGCAGACTTCCACCCGGGAAGTCTTCCGACACTTCGTCATCATCAGAAACTGTGGCGCTGGTCTTCTTCTTCATCCTCTGAGTGGTGCTTGACCTCAGAGGCCTGCTTCAGGGCGGCGCTTCCCTTTGGAGGCTGTATCTGGGTGGTGCTTGATGTTTCAGGGACTCGGGGGTAGTGATAGCGGTTCATCAGGGTTGGTGAGTGAAGCGCTGCTCATCTCTGAGCAGCGCACCATAGTTCTGAAGTTATTCTGACAATTTGAGACTCTGAGTGTAATAAACAATGTGTATAGTAGTATACTGGGTTCAGACTATCATCGTTTCATTGTTTCCTGGATGTGATCTACTCGGCTTTCCTTTATGACTGGTTGTGAGGATTGAGTGGAATGAATTGCACTTTCAGTGTACCCTGTCATATCGCATGGTCAAGTCTTCCGCTGTGTTTATCTCTCCCTGTGCGGTATGATATTCCTATCCCCTCCCCTTCCTTCTGTGTATGTATGGGCATACCTGGAAGTCTATGTGTGTGAGTGTTGGTCTTCAGACAACAAACAACCAGAATCATAACATCCTTTTAAGGAAAGCACTGCAGTCTGATACCCAAAAGAGAATCAGACATGAGAGGTAAGTGCCGTTTTCGTTTTTCCAAGTGTTGTTCTTTTTTGCTAATTCGCTACTCTAGTTACTGTATAGTTTCCAATGGTGACCCCCCCCTCACCCTACTCCGAACTTCTGTCCAGACTAAAAGGGCACTGTCAAACGGCGCCCAATAGCAGCACTTCGTGGCAGTGTGAAAACACTGCCACTGTTCCCTTCCGAAAGTCTTTCCCCCGCGTCCGGATCCAACAAGGTTTCCTGGCGGAAAGGGAATAGTGACCGCCAGGATCCAGTTCTGAGTTGAAATGGTTAGGGCGAGAGCCCATGGCAAAAATGATTGGAATAAGTGCCTGAATCTGGACGTGTTTGAGGAGAGTGATTGATCTGTTTTTCTCGATCTCTGTGTGGAACACGTCCAGATTCAGACACTTATTCCAATCCTATTTGCCAGTGGGATCTGGCCCTTAAGATGCCTGCCACCCTACCCACCACCCTACCCGAAACTCAACAGCAGCTCTCTCAACTCGGCGTTCCATCCGCATCAAGAAAAGGGAAACAAGAAAAAGAGGTTTCCATCCGCCATATGATCAACTGAGCTCACATGTGGGCATCCGTCCCTGACGCGATATGTGCCGGAAAACTCGGAGACACCACAAATAGATTGCACTTACGATAGACTGCACTAGGGGTCCCGAAATCTATCTTCGATGCTGACAGGGGAGGTCCCCAAAATCTCTTGTCCGTGTAAAGAGAGGGGGTAATCTCACCTCACACATGTTGGATCCTAGCCTTAATGGAACCTTGCCCTTGAGAAAAGGCAAGGAGCTGACAAGACGACAGTGGAGACAGATACAAAAAGAGAGATGAAAAAGAGATGAACACCGAAGGCATGAATCTTTGGAAATAGAAATCCGGCCCTGCTCCTTGCACAAAAGGAAACCGAAAAAGAAGAAGACCACCCAGGTGATGTTTCCGCTGCAAACTGACAAGTGGTGTCTATTCCTGAAGTGGACAGATCTCCCAAGCTGAGATCATCATAGATCGTCACACACACACACATACACAGAGCGAGACAGACACTCACACACACACACACACACACACACACACACACACACACACACACACACACACACACACACACAGAGAGAGAGAGAGAGAGAGAGAGAGAGAGAGAGAGAGAGAGAGAGAGATGGTTCTCAACAGAAAGCAAAAGTAAATAGGAGAAGTGGACAGAAAAGGAAAAAGTAAAAAAAAAAAAAAGCATACAGCTCCAGAAAGAAATGGCAGCAGGGAGTAGCGAACAGCAAAAGCATTCGTTTTGCATTTTCTTAGTCCCTATCTTCGCCCCTCTTAGGGACTAAGAAACCTAAAAAAGGAATTAAAATGAAAAAAAGACAGCGAGCAGCAAGGGGTCTATTATTTTCCTAGTCCCTCTTAAGGGTATAATACTACACTCACACTCGCAACTTTCCCCAGTGCATCCCCCCACAGTTACTCCTTGATTCGCCCCAAACACTGCTGTTTTGTGTAGGAAGATTCAGTTGAGAAAGGGTGACTGGTTCCTACCAGCACCGCTATCACTGCATTTTTTTAAATTTTTTTTTTTTTTTTTTTTTTTTAAGAAGAGAGAGAGAAAGAACTGCTTTGACCATATGCCCTTATAGACGGACATATAGACCCAGTTCTTTCTCTCTCTCTTCTTGAAAAAAAGCAGTTCTTTCTCTCTCTCTTCGCACATATAACTGTCATTATGACATTCATCTACTTCCGTCAGGACTTGAACTCGTGAACTGTCTGCAATGAGTTACAAACATGCGCCCTTCCATTGTGTTCATTTGTCATTCGAAAAGAAAATAATGCTGCATGGACCCAGTGCCCAAGGCAATACAGTAGCAAGACCATCACGTCTCTCTTTATTATTATACTAAAAACAAAAAATGAAAACTGGCCTTGAGAGCGCACTAGCCAGAGTGATATGAGCATCACCGCCTAGTAGCCTGTGACCAGATGCTCCAATCTACTGGTGGGGAGCCGCACCTGCTGGAAACCGGGTCCGGTGTCCCATGCATCATACAAAAGAAGACCAACACCTGCTGCAAACAGGGTCCAGCGTCCCATATGTGTTCCGGAATCCATATGCCATTCCAACCGTCCCTACCTCCTGCTGGAAACCGGATCCAGCATCCCATATGATGCACAGCAATGCCAGCCTCTGCCATCTCTGTCCTATATCCCTTGCTATATGCTAGGCCTGCTATGCACTGGAGAGGGGCCAGGGATAATGCTCCGGGGGGCATCAGAACCATATCCCACAGCCTCCCTCCCCTCCTTCTTGGTCCTGGTTGATCTTTTACCTTGGTTCTTTCATTTAACTTCGACTAACGACTAGTGTGGGGAGAACATATCTGGGGAAACCTGAAGCCGGTCTCAGGGGGAACCTTGGGTCGATCTTTGTGCTGTCCTTGATGCTGAGACAGTAATCCCTCTTCACCTCTTCCCCCACCTCCTCTTCGGATCCCCTGGCTAATCCCTCTTCACCTCGTCCCCCACCTCCTCTTCGGATCCCCTGGCTGGGTCTTCTGTCCATCTCACCTCCGCCACACACCCCCCTCTGCCCCCACCCCAGCCATTCCCGACAGAACAGAGTAATGTTTACCTTAAAGCACCACTACGTTTTTCCATGTCGGCTGCTGGTGGGTCTCCGATCTTTCAGGAGGCAGAAATGAAACGACGGCCACCGATCAGATTTATCTACAGCAGCCCTTGTCGGGCCCAGCCCCCGATTTTTTAGGAGTAGGCTGTTTTCCCGTTTTCCCAACAGTGGGAAAGGTAGTGGTGGTTTAGTGTCCTTCTTCCTATGGAAGAGGTCGAGCTTTTCTTTGGCCATTGGCCATCTGTGCGTGATTTCTAGCTGAACCTGAAGCTTTATCTGCTTCGTTACCTCCTCTCCCTCTTATCCTGACCCCTTCCATGGTCAGTATGCCGCGCTACCACCACAGGGCCCACAGCATCATCCTTCTCCCTAATCTGAACATATTACCTGTGAATTCATCTGCTGGCTGGCCCGGTCAATGTCCCGCTAGTATGGCCCTCCAGTCCAAGGGCCAGTAAGACCCTGGGACAATGTGTTGCCACATTCTGTCCCACCGTCGCCAGATGAGGACTGTTAGGAAGACACTTTTTTTTTAGGAAGATTTTCATGACCGGCCGGTCACCCGGGTGTGATGCCCGGTGGGGTCTGACGCCCGGGATACCCGGGCATGGGGGACAAAAAAAGATAAAAAAAAAACTAAAAAGTGGCGGTGGGGTTTTTCTGCGCTTTCTGAGAGGAGCCCAAATCCAGGCTCTTTTCTTTTTTTGAGAGTTGGCTGTCAAGGGGGGGGAAGGGGAGTATAAATGAATTTTGAAGGGGCTAAAGGGGTTTAAAGGGGGGTGCCTTAATGTGATTTTTTTATTATTATTATTATTTTTTTTAAAATCTTCGGTTCCGTGAGGAATTCTGATGTGACCCTCTGCCAAAAGTTGTTTGTATTGCAATTCTACACAACATATTTGTTTTCAGATTTTTTTGGAGTGTTTTTTTTTTTTTTTTTTTTTTTTTTTTTTTTTTTTTTTTCTGAGCCTGCCCGGGCCCATGCACGGGGGTCATGATCGGCCGGTCACCCGGTTACCAAACCGGGCATGACATCGGGGCCTGAGCGCCTGGAATATCTCCCTAGCTGTTTTTCTTTTTTCTTTCCTTTTTTTTTTGCTGGGAACCGGACCCAGCGTCCCATCTAGAATTATACAAATCATTTGAGATATCGGGGCCATTACCCGGCTTC